TAATCAGTTAGATACTAAAGAAGAACTGCATCCTTATGTTTTTTTTTAAATTCTTACAAGTAAGGAATGTTAAAATTTATAACTCAAATTTCATACTCGTCTTACATGTTTAATATCTTAGAAAAATTATTATTCTCTTATAAAGGAATATATGGTTAGTTTAGGTTTGCAGTTGTGTGTGAAGACCTCAGTGATTGGAAATGAGTTGTGATTGGTAATGGGTTATGAAAGGTAGTGTATTTAGTGTCCTGTGTGCAAGAACCCTCCGCTCCTTGAGTAACCATGAAAAGACACCTGATTTTCCCTTGGTGCTTGACATGTGGAAGAGTGATACACACACAGAACCACTGCTGATCTCTGGATACCTTTTAAACAGTGAAGATACTAGCCAGCAGACTCAATTCAGGAGGCCTGTGAGTTTCTTCACATTTTATTTTGCAGTTATCCCTCACTTAGTTGCAAGGAGTAGGATAAAGCATTACATTTTTAATTTCATTTTTCAGTCTCCTGAAGTTTGACACTGTAAATCAGTGGTTCAGAATCTTCTAGAGAGTTTGTTAAAATACGGATTGCTGGATCCTCCACCCCCAGAGTTTCTGATTCAGGAGGTGTGGGGTAGGGCCTGAGAATCTGCATGTCCAGTGAGGTCTCAGGTGATGCTGATGCTGACCCAAGTATTGCCCTTTGAGAATCAATGCTGTAAAAATACTTTCAATATTAATAAAAGCAAGGAGCAGTGGTATTAAATTTATTTAAAGAAAAGATTTACTACTGTTTAGATTAGACTTTGTTTCCATGTGTCTGTCTGTCTCTCTCCCTCTCCCTCCTCCCCCCCTCAATGTTACTTCTTACATTAAGTGACCCACAGGGAATGTTTTTAAGTCAAAGAATGGTTACTGTTTGGTGATCATCTTGTAACTTCTCACAGACCCATTAGTTGCTGCTAGGCTCAAAGCCACCTTGGACTAGCAGAAAACACTTTGCTTTGATTTTGCTTAATATTTCACGTAAAGATAGGATTTTTGCTTTGTATTTGTTCTTAAGTAAGATACTATAATTGTTATTTCACTTAATGAGTATTGAAACTTTTTAAACCAATTTGAGGCCAGTACAACTTCTTTGCCATTGGCAGCTGTGCATGTTGCTATGGAAACGCAGTAGGGACTAGCAAGATTGCTGTTATAAGGACCACACCTGGCTTATTTGCATCCAGTTTAAGTTGGGGGACATTTCAAAAGAATAAAAGGTCTCAATATGTGCCAATGGGCAGTCAGAAAGAGCTTGTTAGTTTGTAACCACTATATTGGAAGGGTGGGTGGGTTTTCCTTGTTCATTACAGATCCTACTCTGGAGGGTTTTATTGGGTACGTTCAAGTTTAAATTCGTTTCATGTATTTATTTTTCTCAGTGTCTTGCTATCCCTTTTCTTTAAGGTGCTTTTTGTTTTGTTTTGTTTTAGGTATATCTTCTTAAAATTTAAAGATTTTCTTTTCGTGCTCTTAAAGAACTTAAAGTATGTACAGGTCAGAATTTTTCAAGAGAGAAAGGATTCAGTTTCTTTTTTTTCAGTTGTATTATATAATAAAATATCATAGTAAGTTTTTGACCACTGCTAGAGAATCATGGTAGAAGTTTATGTTGATCTCTACTTTCAAGTAGTATGAACCACTATGATCCACTTTTGTCACAAAAACAACTCGTTTTTAAGAAGACAGTTTGAACTATTTATACATTTGATTTTGTTTGCACCAGTGAACCCAAGCTCTTGGTTCAGAGTTTCATGAAATAGGCACATTACTGAATGTATAGAAAAAAATGATATGGGCTAGTTATAGGCTATATAATTAAAAAATGATATGGGCTAGTTACGGGCTATATAATTAAACTATATAAAATTTACACAGTTTAATTACTTGTACTACTTGACCAGTTATACTAATTTATACCAGTTATACTAATTAGTTATACTAATTCAAAAATAGCCATACAGTATAGGTATATGGCAAATGAGAGTCAGAGCATGTATCAATTCCTCTTTGTTGGTTGAGGCTGCTTGAACTCTGTACTGATCAGGATTCTGAGGCCTCATGACAAGGAGTGTGGTTGGTGGTCAACCAGTGATGGTGAATTTCCACACTTGTGTGTATCAAGTGTTAACCTTTCTCGTTTTCTAAATATAAAATGCGATCTTATATCTTTTTTTAGAATAATTTACAACTGTAGCAACCTGTATATCAATCAGTCTGTATCTGTAATCTATCTATCTATATATAAAGCCATTTGAAGTAGATACTTAAAAACCCAAAATGTTGGGTTTGGTCAGTTTTGTTTTGTCTTTTTATTTTTTAATGTTAGCGAAATGCAGCCTTTAAAGAAAATCTAAGTAGAGTGTTTTATCCAGCTTTCATGAAAAAATAGGACCTTACAATACATGTTCAAAGAACTTTCTTATTTACCTCCATGTTCCTTTAGTAAGGGGTGGTACTAGTTATCTCTGTTTTGTGGATGAGGATATAGGCACAAGAGAGGTGCTTACATAAGGCAGCTAAACATGCCTTGATGGGTTGTATGGTGTTCCTGCTGTGTATAATTGTGCCCTCTTAAAGTGTTAGGTCATTTTATACAGCTTACTCAGTTTTGCCTTTTTCTCTTTTTGTATTCATAGACTGGAAAAGTAAGAAGAGCTTTCCTGCCTTTTTAATTACCAAACTACTCTCAGTTTTCAATGAATCAGTTCAAAGAAAGAATGCAGTCTTTCTATACCTGGTAAATATTTTCTGCTAAATAAAGCTATTAATTTAGTAGCCTCTGGTAAATCCAGGTGTTATGATTGCCTTTTACTTTGTGGAATGGCTATTAAACTGACTTATCAAATATATATTTTTTTAAATTTTTAACTCTGAAATTTGTTTGATATTTGTTTCTATGATGGAGTGATGCTTGGGATGCCTGTGACCTAGCCAGCAATGGAAAACAGTTTAGGATTGGCCCTAGTACTTAGGTTAGACTCTGGTCTCTTTTGAAAAGTTGTGAAATACAAATAGAGTATATAAATATCTTTTTATGTCATCTTTATTCTGTGATAATGTAACATTAGCAATAATTTCTGTGATAGTTTAGTAGAAGCACTTTGTAAATAATAGTTTTGTAAAACTAATCTAGTCATCAGAATATTATAACCTATATTTTACCATTTTGCAAATCACTTACATGAAGATTAGAGTCTCTTAATAGCTCTTGTCATATAACTTTTATTCTTGGTAAGATGCGGAGAGCTTATAGCAAAGAATTTTAATTTATGTGCATTTAAGCTATTCATAATGAGAAACAATGTACATTAGATTGCCTGGCACCTTTCTGTTTTGGGCAATCGTTTGTTAGGATTTTATACAAGGTGAGGTACATTGACTGGTAGGTACTCTTTTTTAGTAAAATTCTTTCTAACCGGAGCTTTTAAAGATGACGTGCAATTTGTTGACATTATCTGGCAATTTGGAAAGATTACAAAGTTACTTACCTACCCTAAGTATTATTTGCAACTACTCATCATCCTCTGAGTAGAAGGGGAGGAGGTGGGGCAGGGCTGGAATAGCTAATGTTTATTGAATTCCTCCTATGCTAGGCATATGCTAGATACCTTCACACATATTCTTTTGTTTTTAGTATACATAGAAGTACAGGAAGTAGAGAAAAAAGAAGAAAGCATTGTGCAAAAAATTATTTCTTCCTTTTTGTTTGGATGCTCAACTTGTTAATCTTCCATATTCTTTTTTCATCCGCTTTTGGCAGCACCAAATGCTGTTGATTGTTTCCAGTGCTCTGAATTATAACTGCCTGGGATTGCTGTACAGTGCTTATTACCTGGTCACCAAAGGGGCAACTTTTTTTTTTTTCCTTCAGATTTTAAGTTTTCAGAAGAGAAAATTTTATACTTTTTAAGAAATGTTATTTAGGGTTTAAAACCTGAGAAAATAAAAAAGAAAACCAATTTGTACTTCAGACATGTTCAGATAGTCCTAACAATATTAAGATTCTCTGTTCTTACTTTGTACACAGTAAAGATGATTTTCTGGCCTATGGATTAAAAGTTAGTTAAAAAGCATGAAAATATTCAAGAGCAGCACTTAAAATTTTCTCTTATACTAGGAGAAAAATCTTGACAGTAATATTTATTCAAGAGAGTATAATATCATTTTTATAATTCCTGGTTATTTTCAAAATAACATTTTCATTTTAATTTTAAGGACAATTTTGGGAGACAGCATCAATATTCCCATTTTTCAAATGAGGAAATTAAGGTTAAGTTGTTAGATTAGTTTTTTAGAGGTGTCATAACAGGATACCACAAACTGGGTGGATTAAAGAATAGAAAATTATTATCTTACAGTTCTGAAGGCTAGAAGTCCAAGTTATAAGATAGGGTTGGCTCATGCTGAGGGCTGTAAGGGAGAATTTATTCTATGCCTTTCTTCTTATCTTCCCTCTATACCATGTCTGTCTCTGTGTTCAGATTTCCCCTTTTTATAAGGACAGCAATCATACTGGTTAGGGCCTACCCTAGTGACCTCATCTTAACTTGATCATTTGCAAAGTCCCCATTTCGAAATTAGGTCACATTTACAGGTACAAGGGGTTTGGAATTTAACATTTTTTGAGGTGACACCATTCAGTTCATAACAGATATTAAGGGTTTTTTGAGTGGGAAACTCAGCCATTACATTTTAGTGACACTAAAATGGTAATTATAAAAGAACATGACAATGTATCTATAATACCACATTTAAAATTCATTTTCTAACATTGTCTTATATCTGGGGAGAGTTTATTTAAAATTAACCAAGTTTCTAAAACAGTTAATAGAATTTTGGGTTATAATGGTCTTCAGATTCTTTTTTTTCAGATAATAAATAAATGATGACACGAACTATGGAAAGTTGTTCAAGACTCAGTGCTTAGATCTGACTTTAAATCTGAACTTCCACTAATAAAATGCAGGTCTTTAAAATGTGGACTCCTCCATAAGATCTTGCGATGCCCATCAGAATACTGTTTAAATTGTTGCAAGTGCATTTTGATGGTAGATTATCTGTATATTTCATAATTCTGTAAGAATTGTAGTGTTGCCAGTGTTAATATCCATCTGTTCTTGTGATTAAGGGTTTCTGAGGGATGGGGAGGGAAAAGCTACACTAGGATAACAAAAAAGGAACTGTATGGTACCTTATTAATCTGTTTCTTTTTTCTTCTTTTGTTGAATTTTTTCTTTCAAAATAATTTCAGATTTACAGAAAAGTTGAAAGAATAGTACAAATAACTTGTCCCTGAACCTTTTGAGAGTAAGTTACTGACTTTATGCTCCATCTTCCCAAAATACTTAAATGTGTAATTCCCACAAATACAGACATTCTTCTATGTAGCCACAGTACAAAGATAAAACTCAGGAAATTAACAATGACACATTACTATCAGCTAATCCATAGACTTTATTCATATTTCGCCACTTGTCCCCAAAGTGTCCCTTGCAACAAAATAATCCAATCGAAGATCCTGCTTTGCACTTAGTTGTAATATCTCTTTATTATTCTTTAATCTGGTATAGTTCTTTAGTCTTTTTGATTTTCAGAAACATGACACTTTGGAAGAATACATTTTATAGAATGTCTTTGAATTTGGGTTTATCTGATGATTCCTCATGATTAGATTCAGGTCATGCATCTTTGGCAGGAGTATCACCGAAATGATGGCTGTGCTCTTCTCATTACATCCTTTCAGGTGGTGCACAATTTTGATTTGGCCCTTGACTGATGATGTTAACTTTGATCATTTGATTAAGGTGATGTTCACTAGACTTTTCCAATGTAAAGTTATACTTCTCTTTGTAATTAATAACTATTGTGGGGAAACTGTTTTCATCACCAAATTTTTACCCACTAGATTTAGTGTGATGGTGTTTCTTTACTGAACTGTTTATCACTATAATGGTTTTCAAATGTTGATTTTCTAATTGTATTATTTATTCTATGTTATTTGGCATTCTACTGTAAGGAAAAGCTTTCTCTTGTCTCTATTTATATCAGCATGAACTCGTGAATTCCTATAAGTAATAATTATAGTTTATTATTATTTTTATATATTTTGTCCAAATTGTTTAAAATTTGGTTAATGGGAATCCCTTCAAACTGGCTTCCAGGTATCTTTTTCACATATTCCCATAATTTTTTAAAGCACTTCCACGAGTAGTTTCTTTGAGAATCTCTGGTTCCTTAAAGTGGAGAGAGGCATTTAGAAATCAAGATCTGGCTGCCAAGTATGCTCATTGCTGTAGGAGGATTGTAGCTCCCAGGCACTCAGTAGACAGAGCTAGAGAATAGACTATATGAATATGTGTATATTTACTTAAAGGTATATTTATTTTTGTATTTATATATTTTAAAAAACATTGTGTTCATACCAAAACCTCAAATTCCAGTTCAGCATCATAGAATTCATTCTAGTTTTTTCTCTCTTTTGTTTTTAGTTCTCTTCTCCAGCAGTGATAAACTTAGCTCTCATTGTCCTTAATATATTTACTTACTAGATTAATCTCCCTGTATATAACCAATTTCCTGGTTACTGCTCCCCCGCTCACTTGCCTAAGCTTGGATGCCTGCCTTATGTAGCCCCATCTAATGGCTTTTGGACTGAATTATGATAAAAAGGAAGTTCATTCTTTTATGACAGATATTAAAGTAAATTGGACAAATTTGCTTCTGCTGCATCACCTTTGGTTAATTTGCTTCCTCTATTCTTATTTATTTTTAATTTGGAACCCTATTAGTTCCATGTTGATAGAAATTCTTTGTTATTGATGCTTTGCCTTATTATAACAGCCTATTTACAAGGGATTTTTTTGAAAATTTAAGTTTAATTAGGCATTTTTTATTATCTAGATTCTACTCTTAGGAGCTATTACTTTTAAAGGGTAAAAGATAATTAGCATGGTAATGGAGATGCTCTGTACATTGATTATTTTTAATTTCAAGGCATATAATCAGTTTAAAATGGATTGTTTTCATGATATGAAAACATTCCATCACTTATGAAGAACAGTGAGAACTTTTTTTTTTTGAGACAGCGTCTCACTGTGTTGCCCGGGGTAGAGTGCCGTGCCGTCATCCTAGCTCACAGCAACCTCAAACTCCTGGGCTCAAGCGATCCTCCTGCCTCAGCCTCCCGAGTAGCTGGGACTACAGGCATGCGCCACCAT